AGTGCTGGTGTAGGATTGCCATTGGTCCTCTTATGGCGGGTACATGAGCTAAGTGCTGTCAATAGCTTTCTTCTGTTTTTCTGAATTCAGAGATAACTCAGATCTGCAAACACCCAAGCTTCTCTGAGGAACTTTAACAGGCACTGGGGACTGCAGAATGGGTGCAGACTTCATTGCTTCAGCAAAATAACCATGACTCTCTGGGGAACCCCCCTCTTGGTGCCTTGGAACAAAAAGTTCCAAGTTTTCTTTGCTTGTTTTGCTGTGTGATTCTAGCAGGGTAAAATCTGGATGAATTTGGTAGGGGAAAAAGGCACAGCTTGTACCTAGCCAGCTTTTTGGTAGAAGAACTAGTAAGCCCTCTAAAGAGATAATTTCGCTATCAGAGGATACTGGAAAGCATCATATACACACAAGTGTTATTTCAGACTATTCCTCCTTGCCACACTTCAATTTAACTGACTTATTTAAAACTGCTAAACCTCAAAATGTTGAGGCAGTTACCCACTACACAAGGAGCACTGCAGCTTAGCTGGCCCAAGGACATCAGATGCAAGTGTTCTTTGCTCTTAATCCTGTCCCTTGATACCTCCTCTGAAACAATAGTTCTATCTGATCCACAGAGTAGGTACAGGACAGTTTTCTTCTCTCTGGTGTGTCTACTGTAAGCCTCTGAGTAACCATCCTGCCATGAAAGTTTCATGCCAGCCCCATCCAAGGAGTTCCCAGATGCATGTGGGGAAACAAGTCAAGCACAAGACTTTGCTTCACTGCTCTCAATGTCATGGGAGCCTTGAGCCATGGTTGGTGTCCAAGGTTCTCTCGGCTTGATTTAGGAATTTACTTCAACAGTTGTTTTTTTGCTGCTTCCCAACTTTTGTGTATTAATTTTATTCTTTAGAAAATTGTAATTCTATCAGTAAGTTTTGTTCCCCCTTTAAATTAGAAAGGAGGAGATAGATGGCATCAGGGCTTGCTAAAAGGACATTTAGCATTTAGCATGGGTACAACCACATCACAGGTCCAAAGCCTGCCCTGACAGTGAAGGTCTTAAAGTCACATCTATAACACATATAATTCATGGCTGATGAATTTTATAGTACAGACTTTTAATATTGGAACCTAAATTTGTCAAAAATGCATCATTTCCCTTTCAGTTGAACATGTACAGCTGTTGCAAACACTGCTGCATGCTGGTACCAAAAAACACCACGTTTCTCTTCTACAGTTTGAACGGGAAATAATTGTGGTTTGTCAGATGCCACTTTGAAGCAGCGGGTTTTTCTAGCTGGCTGACTTTAATAACTGTAATTGTACATGCAGTCCTGCTCCAGCTGTGCACCGGGCACCGTGAGTCACTGTCCAAACCCATCCCTTAGGTTCAAACCGCTCTTGCAGAGATGATTCTAAAATACTGCAGAGTATCTTCTGCTCCGTTATTGGGAAGTCTCCTTCTGGTCAGACAGTTATGTTGTGGCCATTTTAGATGGTTTTCCTGGAGTCTGCATAGGCATATCCTACATTGCACTCTCCCATGTCAGAGCTGGGAGCAGAGGAGCAGGCTGTCCCTAAGGATCAGTGGCCTGGCCAGGGATGGGCATATATGATGATCTCATCCCAGAGCATAGCAGACAAAAGCTGTGGGCCACTGTGTTTGTCACCAGTGTCATCCTGGACCTTCTCCTGAGGGCACGTGCTAGCCTGTGGAGCCTTTCCTCCTCTGCTGCTCACCCCCTTGTGCCTCTTTGCTCTGCTTCTTGTTGCTGTCACTTCAGCATTTTTCCTAGTAGGTTGATTTGCTATAATCATCAACCAAGAAATCCAGGAATTTGCTCACCTTGTCAGAAGAAGCCACAGTTTAAATGCTCTTGTATTATATTTTTGTAAATCATACCAGGCTCTATAAATTCCTTTCCATCTGCAAAACTCAGATCAGTTTATTAAATAGCTCAATATTGCCTGGTGTTTCTGTAAAAAATAAAGAAACTGAGGCAGAAAAGTGACATTCACTTCATCTTGCCAAGTGGCCCATAAGAGAGCTGTGGATAAGGAGTTTACTCACTTCCAGCTCTCTTTGCAGCAGCTTTTGCCATGCTGTAAATAAAGTTCAAATACTTAAATATTTTTTAAATTCCTTTAAAATAATTATAATAAATGCCTTCCTATTTCATACATTTCCTGCCCACATAGCATATTTACATATTCCATGTAGCTGGAAGGTATAATTAGAGATCCCTGTTCAGGCACCTGACTCATAGCACCTTTAGCTTGCCACCATAAATAGGCATGTTCAGCCGAGGCTGCTCGTGACGTGATGCCTCAGCCTGTGCATTGAAGGCGCCCTCCACTACTGATCTCTGGGGCAGATTTCAAAACCAGACTTCTTTTCCATAGCAAAAGGCTGTTTGACTGATTCCCAGCAGATGTCTGCACAGGCTTTGGCCCTGAGTTTGGCCCCCAGCCTACTGCTGGTCTCATCAGGTGGGGTGAAGGTCACCTTCAAGTCAAAGCAGCCATGAGCCATCCTCTAATGAAGCATGGTGAGACTCGGGGATCTGTCTGTGTCAGCTTTGCTGGAGGCCAGCTGCTCGTGCTCTGCTCTGAGAGGTGCCTGGTGGCAAAGCACTGGGTCTCTGCAAACCAGCTGGCCATACTGAGAAATCAGGCACTCTGGTCTGATTTCCTCGTGTGCTGAGGCAGGTAGGAGGTGGGGAGAGAGCTGTTTGAAGGTACCTCAAGGAGCTGGGCCTGCAAATGCACTCTGTAGTGCTGCTACTGCCTGTAACATGTGTTTGAACTTGCAAATACAGGACTTTGTCCAAGAAATGTCAAATGTCCCTTGCCTAAGATGGGAACATGGCTGAGATGCTGTGTGGGTAATCTGATGCTTTGGGAGGTCCTTGACTGTGTGTGTGTAAATTGTAACCACTGAGTAGGATGGTTTTCCAGCAGGATCAGACTTGGGCAAATCCATTGTGCAGCCGTGAGCAATATTTGGAATAAGACTTGCCAAATTTTTGTAATACCTGTAGCAGTAGCAGGTTACATGGACTATAGCATATATGTACCCTGGATTCCCAGTTTCCTGGTAAGCCTGAGTGGATTTACTGCATAGGGGTTCCAGTCACTGCTGGACACACTCTGAAGTCTGGGAAAACATGGAACAATAGGTCTGAGTAGGAAAAGTCCACCCTTGTGTCTACATTGGTCAAAAAGCCAGGCCCAGGCACTTTCCTGGGTGGTGTGAAATCGTATAGTTCATCAGATTTGATCCAGTCTGTAAAGAAATGTTTACTGTAGACTCTGAAGAGATTATCAGCTGGCCTGGAAGGTTGCTGAGCTTGATGTGTCTCAATTGACAGAATGAATCCACATAGGATGCAGAGCAGGATATGGTTTCTCAAGCAGAATAGTGACATTCTTGAAGGAGGCTACAGGCAGAGGGAATCTGAATTTTAGTAACTGAACACAGAAACATTTGTCTGCTTATGCAACTCTTAGATGGGAAAAAGAACATGGTCATTCTATGCAGTCCTTTGTTGAAGCATTGTGATAACTCAAGTTGTCCTTCAAACAGCCAAATGGCAGCAAATGTCACCTGGAAAAATTAGATAATGGGGGGACTTTACACTCACAAATGGCTTGACCTTGTGTCTTGTTTTAATTTGATTTTCCAGCCAATGCACCAATAATGTTATAGTTTTGATTTGCCAATTTAAATATACTCATTTTCTGTTTTGAGACAGAACCAGGAGCAAAAGCAAGGAAGGCTTAAAACGTAAAAGGGGTATGAAAGAAAAACTTTATTTACAACACAGAGAAAGGAAAAGGGAAAAAAAATCAGAATAAGGTCTTGAAACCACTCCTTCCGCCCCTCTCCTACCCTTCTTAACAACAAAACAACATACAACAAAAAACCCACCACTTCAGTCAGTTTTCAACTGCTGCAACCAGCACACTTTGTATGACAGTCTCTAAAGCTGCACATGGAAGTCAAGGGATTTCTCTAACATTAGAATGGTATTTGTTGGGTCTCAAATGATGGGTTTTTGCAGATTAGCAATCTATCCAATGAACGATATAACAAGATTTTGTCTAGCAAAAACTGCTGCCAATGTTTAAAAATATCTACTAAATCATCTTGCCATTAAAACAGTCTTGGTAAAATTGTCTGTTCCAAACAGAACAATATTTTACTGTTCTTGGTGATGTGGTTATCTTCCTCAGATTTCTGTGAAAGCATATGTTTCACAAAGCATATCAAAGTTGTCTCATGGGCAAAAATATGTAAGCATCAAGTGTTTCATTTTCTTGAAATCCCCTGCAAAATGGCTATAGCCATGCTGCCTTAACTATTCAGAGGCACAACAGGAAAAAAATATTTCAGAAGCACTCCAAGCCTGGGTGTGTGGAAGAGCTGAGATGAGCCTGTGGCTCTGCAGTCACCCATCAGGAAGTCACCCAAAAGCTTTTTATGTTGCAGTTTCCTCATTTGGGAGGCAATCACTGTGTAAAGGATCTGGGTTCTGCTAATGAAAAATAACACCAGGTCCATGTGTGGCTAGGTTGTCCAATACCTGTTCCAGCCATACCTGCTATTATATTGCATAATCCTGGTTCATGCTCCTGGGAAGAGGATCCTGCAGCACTGTAGGTGAGAAGTTTCTCTCTTGGCTCCACATTGAACTCCTTCTTCTTAATGCAGCCAGTGCACTTAAGGAGGACAAGCTCACTTCTTCCTTGCCTGGTTGTTCAGGGTGAATCATTAACCAAGTACTTAAGTGACAAACCAAAATTGTTTGTTGAGTGCCTTTTGCAGTCTGCATGGACACTTTGCCTTCTGCAGGAGGTATGATTTCCTTCTCCCATGGAACAAAAGCCCACAGACTTTCTCAGCTCTGCACTGTGCTTTAACTAGACCTGAAGTATGTATATAATAATACATAATATGTATAGATTATATATAATCTCTCTATATATAATCTATATATATGTATAGAAATTCTATATATGTATGTGAGCTCTGTGTTGCTCCTGCTTTATGGGTGAGGAAAGGGCATGGTGTACATATGCTGAACAAAGAAGTTAATTTTTCCTTGTACTCTTCCTTTGTAGCCTGTCGAGTCTTTTGGTGAGAGGACTTATAATCCTTCTCCTAGCAGCACTTCATGAACTGAAATCTTTCTCTAGGAAGACGATGATGTGCCAGTTCTCAGTATATGAGACATGAGGTCTCACACATGGATACACAAAAGGACTGCATAGTGTGCTGAAGACTGGGGAGAAGATAGCCTTGTGTGAAAGGTGGAACCTTTTTCTTCTAATGGCTGCTTCAAGTGTTTCCTCCATAAATCTTTTTCCTTGTCTTGAAAGTTTCCTTGATGTGCTGGGCTGTAAATCCTTGAAGGAATTGCATGGTCTAGGTGGAAGTTGGTTGGCTTTGTCCTTTTTCATGAGCCAAGACTGAAGAATTACTGAAATGTTGCAACTGTCAATCGGGTGAGTGCTTTCATTGTAAATCTGTAAATCCTCTTAACCCCTATTTGTAAGAGATGAATGGGAGCCTGCAGCCCACCTACTCATGTCACTTCCATTCATGCCAGAGATACAACAGCAAATACTGATTTCTCCCTATTTAATGCAAGAGCATTTATCTGCCAGTGTTAACTGCATTTCCATGACATAAGAAGAATTGTCTGGATAATTAACTAATACAGTTAAAACACATCAGCTTGAGCAGATGTTCTTGTCTGTGCTGTTAACATGAATGGCCTTGATTTTGCAGCAAAGTCAGTGAGATGGCACCTGAATGCAAGGGCTTGGGTTTGTGAAGTTTTGCAGAACAGGGCCTGTATATGTATTTCTTTAGAAACTCTCCTTATACTGTACACAAACCTCATTCAGAGAGTTTTACTGAGACAGCACGTTCTAGCCTTCATTATTAGGGGATGTCTGTAATGCCATTGTCTGTTTGACATTAATTCTTCCAGCTGTGCATCTATGTATTGTAATTGCCCCGATTTATTCGGTTGCAGTTTGTTTTCTGCAGTGCCTGCTCAGCACTCGTGACTGATATTGAACCTGAGCTGTCCTGTATCAGAAAAATATGGGAATATATGGAGATGTCCGATGGAATGCTGGTCTCTCCACTCACCCTTGGCTCTGTAATTTCATTATCCAGCCATGGAGGACCTGTGTCCCAACTGGCCCAAGGTAATGGGCGAGCACGAGCTGCAGCTCTGCAAGAGATAGGGACCTCTTGCCCACAGCAGAAACAGCAAGTAACTGTAATTCTCAAAAGTCTTTACTGGGTCCTTAACTGCAGTATTTTCTTGCTCTGTAATCTGGCCAAATTTTTTTAATAGGGATAGACACGTTTCTACCACAAAGGTCACCTCTCTGCCAAATTTCAAAATTTCCCTTCTGAAGCTAGAGATCCTCATATAACAGGTTGCTTGGATTTATTTTACGTGTGCCAAGCAGAATACTTTTCCTTTAATAGTATTCCTGGAAATGGCTGAACTGTTTTGGCTAGAGCAGATACCAAACTGTTCGGAATAAAATTCTCAGTGCTAAAGTTTGGCAAAGTAGAGTAACATGCCATTTTGTTGACTCTGGGGAAGGCTGAGCACCATGGCAGCAGGGAGGGGAGTTGGCACTGCTGGTCAGCAAACCAAGGAAACCAGCAAGTGCTGCTTTTAGGAAACTGCCAGCTTGAAGCCAAAGAGGAAGATCCTTACGCTCCTGCACTCTGAGTTCTGTACGTTCACCTTAAATAATGAACACAGAAACCCAGAGGCACCAGTGCTACTTTCAGCTACCTTGAACTGCTTGAATATGTAGCTTAAATCACCCAGGCTCCTTTCTCCCTACCTGTATTGCTCCTGGCCTTAAGGCTGGATTTATATATGGAATCTACAGTTATATATTGGAGTTTGACCTGTAGTAATTTGTATTGCCCACTTGGTACTCTTTTTCCATCTTGAAAGTCCATCTGCAGAACCCTCTGTGCCAGACAAGAGCGCCCCCCATAGATGTTTTACCACATAGTTCTATCTTTTGTGCTAAAGCCTTATAGGGCTGTGATGTGAATGAGGACAAGGCTCCGTTCTTCTTTGCTCGGTGCCCTGTCTCCTTCCTCTGTATTTTAGGAGCCAAGTTATGGGAATGTAAAACGTTGTATATGATGCTTTATTACATAAATGGAATGGGAAAAGCTCAGGCACACTGTACCAAGTTGGCTTTGTCTCAGACAATACTATTATTTTGGGGGTAGACATGAAATTTCTGTCTCTAAAATTGGAAATGAATATAGGAATGACTGAACAAACCTGTTACACTCTTAAAAAATGTGCTCGCTGACCTCAGCTGGATTTTCATGCTCTTTCCAAGTTCTTGCTGTGCATGTCCTTTCCATGCCCTCACTTACTACTCAGACTTTTTTTTTCTTTAAATGATACTGGTACCAGAGCATGGGCCCAGCACTTCTAGGAACTGCAGAGCTGTGAATATCTCTTTTTATGGATACAATGTGTTCATGCTAGAGCTTTGGGCACAGGGTACATCAGTGTTAGAGTGAGGCTAATAATAGCCTCTAAAGATAATTTGAGAAGTTGCTTACCTTTCCCCAGGGAACAGGACATGTCTTTGTATTTCCACCTTCAGATACACAACCCACTTGTGGGCTTGACTGCACAGCAAATACAGTGTGAGAGTCATCCTTGCTTATGTAAATGTTTTTTTCTTCCTCTCCTTTATGTTTTGCTTTGCCCTCTCAGTAGCTTTCTGCTTGTTTTCTCTGAGGCCAGTGATTTCTTGGCAAGTTATTGTTCATAACCAAAGAAAGATAGTGGGTAAGCAGCAACTGCTGTCTTAGGTAGCCCAAGCTGACCCTGCCACTGCTTTGGTAGGAGAAAGAAGCTGTTTCAGAAGAGCACAGCTGTCCTGGGCTCTGTGCACACAAGGGCTGCTCAGAGCAGCCCCTTGACCCCATGCTGGCTCTGTGACCTCTGCCACTCTGACTGATAACAGTGATCGCAGTTTGTGTTGAGGTTTTGTTCTCTGCTCCACAGAGAGAAACATTAAACTGCAGAGTGACTAAGTGCCTTTTCTAAGGCACCATAATGAATCAGTGAATGAACAACTCCCAGCAGCTCCAGGCCCCCTTCTCTCTGCAGAACAATGCCTTTCTCCCTGTATGAAGATGTGCACGTAGTATAGGCTGCATACAGAATTATGTATTTCAAAAGAAATTTGAATATTAATATTTATATTGTACTGATGCCACCGTCCTCTAGGCGCTGTAAATAGCAGCACCACAACAATGTGAATTACTCCTTGCATGCAGACCCTGGCCGGCGAAATAGCTTGCCAATAGAAAATAAAATTACTGCACAAAAGTTTGACAGCTACATTCATTATATATGTCAATCAAAGGATCCTAAAGGCTTTATTGTCCCTGTACAGTGTCTGAACAATCTGCTAGCCCAATATGCTGCAAAGCTATTTTCTCACTACTCGTTCCATTTAAAAAATAGCCACCAATAACTTTTGACAAGCAGTCTGAGAAAACTGCATGAGCAGCAAGGAAATCTTAGATTTTCTTGGCTCTCTGTGGGCTGGAGCCTTCCACTCCCTGGGCTCTGTCACATGTCACAGTAGATAAGATCTGGTCAGAAACATGGAGCCCTAAAATTACTCTACCAAACCCAGGCAGGCTGGGGTCGTGGGGAGGGCATGGGGAGTAAGGGAGGGAAAAAGGGAAAATAACGCTAAATAGAAACGAATTAAATAATTTTTCGTTAAGGCTTTTGGTTGCTTTGCGAGGTATCAGACATGCAAGCTGCTCTGCCCCAGGTCTCCCCCAGGGTTAGGGCGGGCCTGTTTCGATGAGCTCTTGTTCTCAATAGACCACCCTACAGCTTGGGAGTGGGGGGCGTGTGTATTTCGGTGTGATTCCCTTTCTGCACCGCTCTCGCTGCTGCCGAAGCCCAGCCGCCTGTTACGGCCCGGTGCGCCATAAGCGGGGCCGAGGCTCGGGGCTGTGTCCCGGGAGGCGGGCCCGGCCGCCGGCCTTCCCTCAGGGAGGCCCCGCCAGCCGCCAGGGGGCGCAGCGCCCGCCCGGCTCCCGCACGGCCGCCGCCTCCTTCCCCAGCGCGGGGGCACCGCGCTCCTCCGATCCGCCCTGGTGAGGCGCAGCTGGAATTCTGTGTCCAGTTCCGGGCTCCTAAGGACAAGAGAGCCGTGGAGCCTCTGGAGCGGGTCCAGCCGAGGGTAGCAAAGGTGATTAAGGGACTGGAGCATCTCATGTGTGAGGAAAGGCTGAGGGAGCTGGGCCTGATCAGCCTTGAGAAGAGATGGCAGAGAGGGAACCTCATCAAAGTCTATCATTATCTAAAGGGAGGTGCCAAGAGGATGGAGCCAGGCTCTGCTCGGTGTTGCCCAACAATAGGACAAGAGGCAATGGGCGAAAACTGATGTAGGAGAAGTTGCACCTGAACATGAGTAAGAATTTCTTTGCTGTGTGGGTGACCAAGCACTGGAACAGATTGCCTAGAGAGGTTGGAGTGGAGTCTCTCTCTTTGGAGATACTCGAAATCTATCTGGGCACATTCTTCAAGAACCTGCTTTGGGGGACACTTGCTTCACTGGGAACTAGATGACTTCCAGTGGTCCTTTTCCAATTTTAACCATTCTGTGAAAGTGTGATGTTGTAATCTTGTGCCATGACAGACCATACTAAATCTGATTTATGAGGGTGTCATAACTTCACCGTCTTTGTTCTGGGCTGGAACTTAGATTAAGTTTCACAATTCAAAATATTTTGGAGGTAGGTTGTTTCCTCTAAGTATTTTGGACTCAGTTTGGTTCTTAATACGTGCTGGTGTGTGGCTTTGCTCTCAGCTCCTAGGCACTGCAGCAGCAGCAATACCTCAGGAGGTTACCTCCTGCACACATATCTGCCTGTGCCTTTCTGACAGCTGCTTTTGGGATGAGATACTGCTCTTGGCCTGTGCTAAAGGGCTGACCTAAAAGTCTAAAGAATAGCCTTGCTCTTGTGTTTGGGAGTGAACCATGGGGATGTTCTGTGAGGATGCATGCAGAGGAGATATTGCAACAGGATTGCTGATAGTGACAACTAGTGTTTCTACTGAAAAAACCTGGTGAAAAAATGGGAAAATTGGAAACTTTCAAAGAATTGAGGTGTTAATTCATGTGCTGAGAAAGCTGTGCTGCCCACTCACCATGCCAAAAACTGTGTGACATTTCCCTGAGGTGCACTGCTTGCTGCTGCATCACGGGTGTGTTTGATCACAGGCAAAATTAAACATGCTTTTGTAATCAGTGGACTCCTCAAGTAACTTCAAGAATCATGGGAGTAAAAAGACATGGACTGACACTTCTCACGGTGTTGAAGTTTGTATGTTATGGTCTGTTCTCTCCCCATGCAGCACTGCCCTCTTTTTGAGGTCCTGTAGAGAGCCCTTTTATTAATAATTTTAAATAATTACTACCCTTGTGGAAAGGGCATTGAAGTCTTTTCAGTGCAATTTATGGCAAGCAGCAAATATTGTGCAACAAAGTGTCTGTTATCTGTGATAACAGCTGCCTTGCAACTGACAACTCCCTTTGATTTCAGGTTTGCAAGACTGGACTGGGCTGCACATAGTTCGGTGATGCTGACAGGATGCAAAAGGCTTTCTGTAAGCAGAGTGGCCTGTGTGTTTCTCACCAGTCCACCTCTGGCCAAGGACATACTTTGTAGTGTGTGGATGCAATAATAAGGACACTGCAAACACTTTTCTTCCTGTGGTTGGGCTAGAAGATCCAGTTGCTATGCTTGGTGCTGTACATGGAAGAAAAGCCTATACAAGTCTGAAGTCTCTGCCATGAGCATCACTGCTTCATCTTGTTCTTCTGGCCCTAAAGGAAACCCCTCCTGAAGGAATGTGGTATCCAGCCCCTCTGTTTCTGTGAGCAGGAGGTAGTGGTGGCTTCCCAGGAGGAATAAACCTGTCTTTGGTGCTTGCCTGTCTCACTTCTCTGCCTTGTGGGAAAATGCTATTGCTCCCTCTGTTTGGGTGATTGCTCACACTTCTGCACTCGCAGGCTTAATCTGTGAACTTTTAGCAGAAATTATGCACTGATTCTGGGATGGTGTTTGCCAGCTAGGAGCTGTTTTCCAGTGTCACTCACTTGTAGTTGGCATGTGGAACTCCTGTGGTATTTTCTCAATGTTTAATGTGACCTAATTGTGTACTTCCACTGTCATGGAGGATCAGCTTTTCTGGTGTGACAGTTGCCATAAATTCAGTGGCATTCAGGAGCCTCTGACATTTGCAGCTGGGTGCAAGGCACAAGTTCCTTGATTTTGCTGCATCAGCCCAGCGAAACATTGCAGGGCTGTGTGTGCAGCCAACTACTGTTATGCCTGGTAATGGTTTGTCAGTGTTAAAAAATGTAACTCCCAGCTGTTTAATTTGCTCTAGGAGGAAAAAAAAGCTTCTTAATAATCTTCATATTTACTTGGCACATTTAGTTTGAAAGCAGATGGATTGATTTACAAGATCAATGAGAAAGCAAGAGGAAAAAAGGTGTATCAATTGGTGTACTATTAGAGGGGAAGGCATTTCTGATGTGGAGGTCTCGCTGTTGACCTTTCTAGGTTGTTTTTTTTTTTTTTACAAGTCAGCTTTTTGGACCTTCTGCCCACCAGCTTGCTTGTTTCAGCCCAGACAACTAATTCCCTTAGTGCCCATTGTCACCTCTCTGTGACCTGCAAGGAGGGGAAGGTGTAACGCTGCAATGAAGGAGAGGGGCTGAGTTGGCCACATTGGCCTTAGCAATCAGCATTTCCCTCTCAGCTGTGCCTTCTTTGCCCACTCCAAACTTGTGTAGGAGCCTCCCCATTGTAGCACTCACCCCCTCCCTGTGGCAAGACCAATAAATCCCTGTGTCCTTCTGGATGGGCTGGGAAATGGTCCTTCCTGAGCCACTGCTGCTTGAGGCACTGGCACTGAGCAGAGCTAGGTTCTCCCTCTCTGTCAGGGCCATGCGCTCCTCTGCCCTGGCAGGCAGCTGGCAAGTTGTGAAATACAGTTCAGCACTTTTTTTTTTCTTTTTTTTTTTTAATATTAAATTGTGAAGCTGTCCTGGAAAGGATTAGAAATCAGTTCTGGAAAAGACTACAGCAGTTTTTAGTGAAACATTCTGCTCTGTCCTTAAATTTTATAAGCATCAGGATATAAGGATACCATGTTAACCCTTCAGCAGCGAGAAAGATTCCAAATAATCTAATAAACAATGTATGCAAATTTACAGATAGAGTAGGTTTAGTTGCAAGTTCTGAGACGTAGAAGTGAGAAAATATCAGAAATAAGGTTTCTGCTTAAGGTTTTGTATGTCAGACATCTTGTTTGGTCAGGCAACTGGATTAGATGAACATTGTAGATTGTAGAAATAGTCTATTAGAAATAGACTATTCCATATTTCTGGTGGCACAGCCCTCTTCTAAGGGGTCACAGATTTGCTTACCACCCCTACCCTAGCTGCTCTCATCACCATTCACTGTAGTGGGTTATGCCCAAGGCATGAATTAGGGGCAGGTTAATGCCCACAGGGCTCCTGCTCCATGGCCTTGGGGCCAGGAAAGGCTGCAGGAGCACTGTGGAGGGGTTACTGGTTTTGGCAGCTCAATGGTGTCAGGAAAAGAAGCTTCCCTCCCTGCCACATGTTTCCAGGAGGATGCTGAAAAGGTCAGGGAAGCCAAAGCTATGCTCCTTTTTGGGCTAAGAAACCTCTGTGGTAGAAGAACCTGTCCCTGTCCAGAGAGGAATCCAAAGAGCCTTGCAGGAAATGTCATTTTCCAGGTCCTCAGGGAAATGAATATTGTGTCACTACTTCATGGCTGGAGATGTTGTCAGACCACTGGCATTCATCATCCCCAGGGTCCTGTTTGCTTGGTGCATGGTGAACTGAGTCTTTGACAAATTCCTGGAACTGTTCTGGTCCTCCACAACTTCATCTGCTGTGTTGCAGAAAAATATAGAAGCTACAAGAGATTTAAGTCCCATTGTGCCATGCATTTTATAAAAAGTTGTAATCTCCATTGCAAACTAACTCAATCTAAACAAGCTGATACTATACTGTATCAAAGGATACTTAGAGATGTTCCATCAGTCTTAAACTGGACTATGGAGTGCCAGCATACAGAACTCATCACTGTTCATTTCAACAGGTGTCTGAATATAGATGATGTCAGGGGTTTGACTTGGCAGTCTTGCAGTGCTCAAATCCCTACTTCCACCTTGGCAAATGCAGGTTTAGAGAATTTCTGAGATGTTCTAGTGCAGAGAGGAGAGGACCCTGAAAGTCACAGCTGGAGAGAGGGAGATCCCAGAGGGGCATCACCCCTGAAGGACAGTGATCTCTCCTTTTCACCAGCTGCCAGCACTGCTGATCCATGTGGGCTGGGCAGGGCAATGCTGCCTTCTTCATGTGAATCAGAAGAGCGAGGAAAGCTAATTGCCAGGTAAGGTCATTAAGTATTTAATTCTCAACTGAACCAAGTGGCATCAGCTCCAAACTTAGAGTGATAAAGTCAGAAGCTTCAAAACCAGGAACATGTGTTTTATAATACCCAGCAGAAGAGAAGCGGGGATTAAAATAGAGATTAGTCCACGTTGTATCTTTGAAGCTTGGATTCATGCCTGTAGCTGTGGTTCTGAATTGCTTCTCAAGCTGGAAGGCATGTGGATGGGAAATCTTGCAAAATATCAGATCTCATAGGATTTCTGCCTCTTAAAATTAGCCATGTTGCAGGATTGGGCACTGTCAAGGCTTAGTTCTGTTTTAAAGTGGAGAAGTGGAGACTTACTTTTAAAATTAGCCTAACCATGAATTTGAATTGTATCTTTACATAGTACATTTTCCAGATGCTGCAATAACACCTGTTAGTGAGCTACAAATAAAAAAAAGCACTTGATATTATTTAAAAAGTGCAAAAGCAATGTGTATCCCTGGTACTGAGCCACAGCACAGTTTCTCCTGTCACTGCTTGTGTTCATGGGACCTGTGAAAGCAAATCTAATGCAGAGCAAGTGCCTGTTACACAAGTGTGAGCTGTGGTCACCGTGGACTGTTTTAATGTGGGGTCCTTTGGCTGTTAAGGAAAAGAAAACTTTTTTTTTTTCTTTTTGCAGGCTATTTCTTATACTTATTTTATATTGCTTTTAGTTAGAGGAACATTTAGGTGGTACAGTGATTTTTTTATATATTTATTATTCTATACTTGTGTGTGAAGGCTTTGTGGGTGGTTTGATGACCTTTATAAGATGTCATAGCATAATTTAAAGAACTTGAAGCACATGAGCACTCGGGAATATTAGAATGAAAATAATCAGATTAAATTAAATAATCAGATTAAATTAATAAATGTAAATTCAATTTACACAGAGAAGAGCTGTGCATCATGCTGGTGCAGCTGGATGGCAGAAAATTTAGCCCTTCACCTTGAGACAAAGCTCTCATGGGCCTGCATGAACTCTGATCACTCTTCACCATGTCCTGGTCAGGTTTGGGACAGTGTTTGTGGGGGATGTAAAAATGGGCATTCTTCACTGTGGTAGTCTGTGCCAAATCCCACTCCAGGCTTTAATATTTTGGAAGTAATATAATTTTTCAACAAAATGGGTAAATTGTGGATAACTTCAACGTGGGCAAAACAGTACATTTCAGAAGCTTGTCTTGGTAAAGATGGTGAGATATCTCTTTGATTGCAAAGAGATATCTAATTGCATCAGACACTTATTAAAAAAAAAAGTCTATTTGTTGACAAAGTTACAAACAGCTGAAAATTGGAGAATGTGACAGGACAGCTTGTGCTGACAGGAGGCCCTACCACCACCTGCAATCATTTTTTGATACAATCAATTGGTTGAACGCTTAGCCTATCATCTCTCAAACTTCATTAATATTTTAGTTGTTTACTGTTTAGGGTGCATTTAGGGGTGCAGATTTGGAGGCTTCAGCCTGTTCCCAGCAGTATCACAAGTTTTGTGGTGCTTCAGCTTTGCATGCCCTCAACTTTAATGAATTGTTCCCATTCAAGGAATCTCTTAAACACAGGCTTGAACTCTCCTGGATGTCGTTCTGTCTTACCCAGGCAAGCCTTTAAGTTAGACCCATGTTTCTTTGCCTTCAGCAGTATATTTTAGCATGTCCTTACTAACTATTCATGTGATATAGTATTGGAATGAAATTTGGAGGTTTGCTGAACATGGACATAAGTTTGGTCATTTTCTTATTTTAGATATTACAGCTTTTTGGGCTCTTTTGAAGTAGGTGTTGTACACAAAATTATGGTGTTCTGTATAATCTATTTCTGTAGAAAAATGAACATATTTTCCTACCTATTATGGAATGCTCTGGTGCAGAGGCCAGTTTATTTCTAGCTCTATTTTTTTCTAGTCCCTTTTTTAGTGCTGTCAGTCTTGTCCTGTGTTATTAGGACAGTTTTCAACACCACCTACTCTTAGTTGTAAAGCTGAGAGATAACTTCATTTTTCATTTTGTGGTGATTTCATTTGCAATTTTGAATTTTTTCTCAATACAAGACATAAAGGAAAATTCACAGATTTTGCTAATCAAATGATGGATTTACTGCATTACACAGAATTGAAAGAATGTTTTCAAAAATAAAAAATTAATCATTCCATTGCAGAAAGGTTCAAATAGTGCATTTAATTCTTACTGAAGCTTTCTCTTACCAACTTATATACTGATTTTTCCCCCAAAGCTGCCACATTTCATTTGCAGCTGCCCAGCATTTTTCAGGAATTTACAAGTCTAGCTGGGTGTTGTACAAGGTTTCCTTGCAAATAAGCAAACCTACAGGACTTCATAGACAATGAAATGCAACTATTCTATCTTCATCAGTCATTTTCATGTTGGTATGAGTGTTTTAGCTGGTCTGCCTGTGTTCAAAATACGTTCTTTTATTGTGTCCTAGGGAAGGTGCTCTCCTCCCATCCTTCTTTCCATGGGCCTTGTGTGAAATCTTGCTCATGCTGGTGTTGAGTGAGATGTGTAGAACACATCTGCCTTTCAACAAGCAATTGTGTTTATAGAAATAATGTCTTCTGGAACTAGAAATTTAGGTTAACAGATCCAGGAGTCCTTGTTAGGTAATACCTAGTGTGACAGAACAGGGCTCTTGAAAGCAGAGTACCCAAACAGATGTAACTTTGAAACTGCTCAGGAGTAATTTGGAACGTCCTCTCAAAGTTTGGATAATGTAAGTTTGGATAACCTACTGATTCCTATAAAGTATAACATGGTATTTTTTCTGTGCTCTGACCTAAACTTCGACTGATGCTACATAAATTCTGTACTTACTCATATGTGTTCACGTCTTTTAAGAGTAAAAGCACAGAAATCATCTGACTAAAGAAATGCATTTAAAACCAGTCAAGACTGAAAATGTCCACAGTGGCAGAGTTTTATTTTTAACTCATGCCTCTTCTTCAAGTGCTTCTATCTTTTCCAGCCTTTGCACTTTGAAGTCAGAGAGGACTTGGTATCATCAGATGATGACAAGATAGTGGTTCCCATGTAGTGTGAGGATGCTCCTGTAAAAGTGGAGATCTAAGACTTCTAGGGTTGACTGGTTTTGACTGGGCCTTGCTCTAAAACCCCAATACAATGTTCTCCCTACAGAGCAACCAAAAATTGTATCATAGATGCACACTCAATATTTCAGCTTTATGAAGTGTGTCATACAACCAAGAGTGTTTTTCAGAAACCTTGGGTCTTACCTGCATTTGCAGGGTCCACACAGGAGACACAGTGTTCCCAAATCCTCTTGAGACAGCCAATTGGATAGGAAAAAATCAACCTCTCCAGCTTTGTAACCTTAACATATATTGCAGTATTCCTTCAGAGCAGAATATGCATGACATCTGGAAACACTTATTCTTTTGAAAATCACTCAGCACTGAAAATGAAAACTAATAAACACAAGTTGCCAGTTATCCCACAGTCTGGGTGACCCATACTGGAACAAAGTCATTTCTAGAAAGCCTGAGCAGGGTGGGCACAAAGCTGGTCTTGGATCCTAAAGCTGACCAAGCTGTTCTGAGACTAAGATGTAACATTTTTAGGAAATGAGGTGAAAAGGGAGGTTTTCTTCCCTTTTTGTTATGGAAGGAGAGGGGAATACAAGAAACTGTGTCACACTAGCAGACCTTATCCATCAAGGAACTGAGCACAGAATTTATGGATTTAGAGCCAAATCATACTTTTTGGTGACAGGACTCATTCTAATCTGGCTCTTTTAAAACACACTAATGTAGAACTGTCAAAGGGTTGGAAAGGCCAGTGAAAAACAAGTGTGACTGGAGTTTGCTGAGCTAGTGAGGGAGCACAAATGCTCTGCTGGTCTTCGCTGACAGAATGGGTGCCAGGATATTTCAGAAGGGACAGATGCTAAAGCAAATCCTGATTGATTTTAGATCTCACTAAATGTTGCCTTCAACCTTTCCAAAGTAATGTGGAAAGTGACTGGGAGGTGCAACATTAAGGTATGCTCTAATACAACAGTTTGTTCAAAAGACATGGAACATTATGTGTCTTTTCTTAACCTGGTTTCCCAGGGAAACATGTCTGTCTTCTGACCACTCTCAAGATAAAAGTAATAAATTCCTTGAGTTTTGTTGAAACAGGTGGCTGTTTAGATGGCAGAGACCCAGGAGGAATAGAAGCTCAGCAGTGCTCATGGGCAGCAGAGGACTTGCCCCAGAAAGGGGGCTCTGGGGAGATCCAGATTGTTCAAGGGAGGCCTGGCAGCACAGACAGAGCTTCAGGACATGTGGAGCCAGCAGTTCCTGATGGCACTGCTTTGTTTTTAACCCAGCCTTGCCTTCTGCATGCCTCTCAGAGGTGGGTCTCCCTTCTCCTCCTCATCCTCCTGTGTGCAGAAGAGCAGTTTCAGCAGTTTTCATGCCATATCCTTGCAAAACCTCCCTGTCTTGGGACCTTTCTGACCCCTCCGATTGCCTCTGGTGATATTGCACCTGCACAGTGCTCACTCGACACAGGCTGGTATTGCCTTTGCTCTGGGAAAGTCCCTTTTGCAATGCAGCTTGACTGCTGCAGTGTGTGGAGCTTGCTTCGGCAGAAGAGGAATGTCAGAGATGGGACGTACTTTAAAATGATGCCCAGTTGCTGTTTTGTGACAGTGATGATTTTGCTGAGCATTCTTCTACCCAGTACCGGGGGCTTGATGAACTCTCAAGGTGTTGCACTGTCTTGATGAAATATTAGTTGAAGTCCAAGGCTTCAAGTGCCTCACTTGCCCTGATGCACTCTGAGATGGAAAGAATCCTGATGCTGCTCTGTCAGGCAGTATGATAGATGGTTAAACGCCCTGTCCTGTTTTACAGAAAACAGGAATAAATTTATTATCAGGGCTGCAGGAAACCCAACTGCTTAATGGTCACAAAGATCCCTGAGTACCTACTGTTCTCCAGAAGGACTAGGTGGT